AATTTGAACCTTCTAATGAGATTTAGTCCCAAAAATGTGTGCCAAATACAGAGAGAAAAATTCAGTTTTATTTATTAAACCTTGGCTATTATTCCTTAAAYCTGTCCCAAGTCCTGGGGAGCACGAGGTGAGCAATCCCAGCTCATTTTTCTCCTTCCCCTTCAGATTCTTCCTCCTCCCCTTCAGATCCATAGGGCCCTGATCTTTTGTCTCCTGTCTCTCTCTCTGCTGCTTCTTTTCTCCAAGGCAAATTTGGGGATTTTTTGTTGGGAAAAGCCACTCGGAGATAAGCAGAATTTAATAAGGAAATGTCAATTAAAGGCTGTTAGGTCACGGCTGAGGTTGCAAGGGGAGGTGAATTCATTCCTGCTCCTCTTATTTTAGCACTTGTGTGACTCTCCCTGCCCTTTTGGGATCATTGCTGCAAACCAATCCCATTCCCAAGTGCTTCTTTGTCCACATCCYAAATTTCAGCCACCATTTGGAGTTTCTTACCCAGATTGGAGACTGTGTCAGAAACCAGAACTGATGGCGTGGAATTGTCATGTTTTGATCGCGGTATATTGAATTTATTTGGGTTGGGTTTTGTTTCAGCTGCAAGGAAAAGAATATTAAACCTTTAATCAGCTTTATCAGGTGTCCAGCCTTGGAATATGGAATGTTCAAGGTGGATCAGGGGTGAGGAAGAATGTGGATCATCGTCTCCACTGGGAGGGGAAGGATTCACTGGGAGTGAATATTCCTCATTAAATCTAATGGGGTCATGGCAGTTAATATATTGTGAATTAATATGTTTTATTAACCCCCCCATGAAAAGTACAGTGGTACAATGCCATAATGGATCTGCAGAGCCAGAGCAAAATGCAAATTTGAATTKACTTAATTGCCACTGTTACTATTCTTTACAAATAATTCCTGGTTTTCCAAGTGATATTTGCATGTTATTTTTTGGCCCAGTTCTTCAAACGCAATGTTTTCAAGAGGACAGTTCAGGGTAAGGAAATCAGCTGCTTTCTAAGGTTAAAATTTCAATGGTTTAAAAATTTTAGGCAGCATTTTYAGTGCCTTAAAATTGGATAAGAGAACAAAATGAAGCCTTGAGACTAAAGTTTAAATACTCAGAGCAAGCTTTTTCTAATTACTGTAGCTCAATACTAGCAGAGCAAAAAAAAAAGAAAAATCAATATATTTAACTTCAATGAGTTCTGCAAGTGCCTGGTACCACTGTGCTGACTGCAATATATAAGTTTGATAAGAAATGGCTAAAAATTAAACTGTTAATTTGAATTTCTCTGTATTTTCTGTGTTTGTTTCTGCTCTCCTGTGTGTAAAATGCCATTGCCACAGCACCTTGGAAAGCTGATTACTTGTAATAATTGTCTTTGTAATTASCCTGAAATATCCACTTGGTTGTTTTCTAGATGAAAGCACTGAAATGCTGAGCAGATTTTAGCCAAAGTGAGTTTTCCCCAAGTTTCTGCTGATTTACCATGTGTGTGTATATGGAAATGTAAGGATCTTGGTACTGGATCAGTCAAGTTTTTATGCCAAACACTGAATATTTGGCTTAATCCTGCTGGATTGGATGGCAACTGCCAGTGGGGTTGTGAGTGTTTGCACAGRCCTCACAATTCATTTGGAATTACAGCAATTGGAAAATCACAGGCTTGAAAAATTATAGTTACAGTGCTGCTGTAATTTCCTGCAGTCTGTTTGAATGTGAGCATGGAATCAGCTGGAATTGTGACCTCCAAAGGGATAATCCAGGCTCAGACAGGCTGTCACTCACCTTTCCTCTGCAACAAAGTGAGCAGGTAGCACTGAGACATCTCCTTAATGAAGTGGGTTTGGTGCCTTTTATCTGTGTGAAGGACAAAATTACCAGCATTCTTGCTTAATGATGGTGTCAATTTTTTTTTTCTCCCGGTGTTTAAAAAAAATAAAAAATCCAGCAACATGAAAGACTCCCAACAAAATGGTCTGCGTGGTTAAATTAGAAAACTCTGTAGGTCTGTGACATTCAGGTCTGTATTTAAAATGACAGAAAAACATGAAGTTACATCAGTTCAGTAATAAAAGCAAATTCAGAAAAACACTTCAATTAGTGCTGTGGGATTTGAAATGGGGGTTTTTGTCAGCTTTTTTTCACCCAGAAGTCCGATTTTTTTTTTTTTCAAATCTGTACTAGGGGTTTTCTGACTGCAGTTTGAGGGGGCCTTTTCTTGTTTTCCAGGATATTCCCAACGCATCCGTGAGCACATCCCTGATCTTGCTCTCCAGCAGAACCTGCAGATGGGAAGGCTGTGTGACATCCTGGGTATGTGATGAGCTCCCGCCTCCTGCTTTCTGATTATTCCCCCACAGTTGTCAGAGAGAGAAAACAACCCAAGGACCTTTTGGATTAATATTAAATATAGAGCACGGAGAAGCTCCGGAGGAATCGATCTGCTGTGGCATTTCCTGGCCACATTATCCATAAAAAAACCTGCTGGTTCCTTGTGCCTCTGCGATAAGGTAGAGCAGCCTCATCCTGTGGCCTGCTGAGCCCCACAAAGTGTTTAGTGTTCTACAAAATTAGGTAGCTAATTCTGTTAGTGCTCATTCAGGCTCACACGGAGAGAAAGATGTGCTGGGAAAGAGCAAGCCCTTATTTAAACCAAATTTTTTTTTTTCTGTTAAATCAGCAAATGAGGCAAAAGGCATCCATTTAAAAGTTTTTTCATGACAATCTTCTTTTAAGCAAAGCAGGGAAGGATATTATTTATCAGTGACCAACTTCATTGGCTCCCTGGAATGACATGCTTTGCATGATTCATTTATATTTCAGCATCATGATTATTTTATAAATGCCATTTAGTAAGTTTGTAACCAAAATTTATTAGATTCAGAAATTTACAGTTGCCTAAAATAATAATGTAATTGCCTTTATATATTATCTAGGCACTAAGATTGTTTTTTCCACGGTACTGGGGTTTATTTTTTTTCTAAACGTGGATTTTTTTGGCTCTAAAATGATAGAAACTTAAAGGGACAAAGCCATACATTAAACAGACTATTTTTTTTCTCATGTCTGACCATGAAAATTGGTTCTACTGTARTATAGACCACGAGGAAGGTACAAACTCTTGAAATACTACCTAAATAATGAACTAGATCAGGTGCTTTAACTGCCTGGCAGAAGAGCACTGRGATTGACTATTTTGGCTTGGTTTTTCTTCAGAAAAGCAGAGGATTTCCTCGCTGGTTGTGACCTCCTGTGAGTTAAGCTGTCCCTGGAACCCCACTGTGTCCAAAGGAGACTTTCTCTCTTTCTAGGGCAGTGCTGCAGCACTAAAATGTGYGGCAGCTTTTAATTCCCCAAATTCTCTTGAATTGTCAATATTTYGTTTGAGTATTGACTGGTGAATGGTTCTGAACTCTTCTATTAATTATTTTTAAAAGTTCTATGGTAAATAATGATATAAAGACTCTGACTGTGGACTCTGTGTTACTTCAATGCTTCAGCTGAGTCCTGGACTCACATTTTTAATGCGGATTATTTCCCTGCAGTTCTGACAAAACAAAGTCAATCCATGGGATCTCTTATTCCTTCACAACATTTGGCTCAGAATTTCCTTATCCAATCCTTGCTTTCCTGCAGATCCATTCCCATGCAATAACAGTTGTCCCTGGCACTTGTGCRCAGTAAAACGATGATTTGGATTCCCACTGATTTGGATCAAAATCTTGGAGTGTTTTTTGCCAGTGTATCTTACTGAWGCTTCAAGGCCCATTAATTCATTAACTCATCTATTAATATTTTAGCACAGCGGAGTGGTTAAAACTTTCCACCGCCCCCAGTACCAATTTTTCTTCTGTTTAGACACAATCTTCTGGCCCAAGCTGTTTTCCATGTGGAAAAGCAGATTTCCAGCCTGTGTGGAAGTGGCTGCTCTGCACACTCACATGCCCAGCCATGGTTATTAATGATACCCCACCGTGAGCCTTTGTGTGGCCAGCACAGGAATAGGAGCAGCCCATGGAAAATCCAGGCAGCATAGAAAATTGCAATTTCATCAGCTTTCTAAACTGAATGGCTGAGTTTTATAATTTACTGACGTTAATGGGATATATTTTTAAAGCAGTTCAATTCCCATCAATGTTAATGGGAGTCGGGCTCACAAATCCCCCTRCGCCACTTCCCAAATCCTGCCCCCAATATGTTCTGCAGGCTGAATCCTGGGARGCAGCTCTTTCTTTGGGTTGCTGACCTGTCTTCAGAGAAATGCTGAAGCACAGCGAAAGCACCAAGATTTGGGAATTAGCCCTCATTTTTATTTCCAGGGCTTTTTTTAGGGAAGCTCTTTGTGAGCAAACGGGTCGGCAATGCTGGGATTGCTGTTGGGAATGGGGTGTACCTTTTTCCCAGCGATGAACACTGTGCCCCTTTGTTTCAGATGCCAACGTGGACGTCATCTACATCTGCCCCCTTGCTCTGAGTGAGGAGTTCCTGCAGTATTACCATAAACTCCTGGGTCTGCAGGCAGCTGTTAGATCTGGGAACCCCGAGGACATGGGTGACCTGCAGGACAGGTTCAAAATTCTCACCCCTGAAGCTATAAACAGCTTCCCTGTGAGTTTGTCTTCTAATTACTACAGCTTGAGGGATGCAGTAAAATTAAATTGGAAATTTTATAACTTGCAACGCTCTGGTACACATCAGTGAAATATTATTGCAAGTTTAAGGGCTTTACTGATTAGACTACTAGTTAGAGCATTGGAAATAAATATCCTGGTTTAGCTTTATAGACTTGCTTGAGATAGTCCTAGATTGGCTATTTGTAGGCTGTTGTCCCTTCTGACTCTATGCTCAGGACTGGGAACTTGATAGATTTATATCTCTAAGCAAATCAGAGCAATAAACCATTCTTATTACTCAAACTTTATCTCTGGCTAGCCCAGCATTCAATCATTCCTATGCTTGCAGGGTTTCTTGCAACTAAATCCAGTGCAGAGCTCCTTAAAAAACAGGGCTTAAGCAAAGTTAGGTAATAATACAGAAATATTAGTTTCAAACAGAACAGAATAATACAGAAATATTAGCTCTGTTAATACAGAAGTAGGAGTTGCAGGATAATAATTAATAATATAGAAATACTAATTCTAAATCTGTCAAGTCAGGTTTAAATCCATGGATTAAAACATGGTGGTCTAATTAGTGTACAGTAAGTACAGTGTTTCTGAAAATGCTGCAGTGCAGTAAAGGCTTTTACAGTGAATAATAGCTTTTTATTGTAAATACTAAACCTATGGTGTCTTGGCTGAGATTTGATTTTTATCAAACTTTGTGGCACGTTTAGGGGCTTTGCTTAAAGCCCTGCTACTGGTTTTGCTATTTTTTTTCTTTTTGAGATGCACTTTGACAATTATAGCAGGTTTTTTCTATAGTTACTGGGTTCTTTTTCCAGTGCTGTGAGCGTATAAATTCCAAAATCTGTCAGGAAAATGGGCAAAATTAGATTTTAAATGAAGCAACTTGAGGTTACCCTTGGCTCTTCAGTGTCGTGCACCTGTTACTATGCAAARTCCTCAAACTTCCATTAAATCTGTGTTCTTTACTATTTAATAATTAATATGTTTAATGAATAGATCCTCTCGTGGAGAGAAATCTGCTCAGAACTGATCCTGGTCATCCCTTGGCTTCAGTGGCAGTTTGGGCTGTGTAAGGGTTTGAGCTTTATAGGCTCTTTTTAAGGATGCTTCCCTTGGGTTATTGAATAAAAGGTTTTTATTGCACCTAATGTATCTAAATTTATTCCTAATCAATGAAAGGGTGGCTTGAAGGCCACCTCAGAAGGCTCCTTTCAGCARTGCCAGCAGCACAAATCAGCCCTGCACTTTTTCCCAGCTCTTTTTGTGGAACTGGGAGGAAGGAAAATGTGTGGAAAAGGCCCAGCTGGCCCTGATGCTCCCCTTGAGCTGTGTCACAAATGGAGGCAGCTTTGCTCCCCTGCTGAGGCTGATGCTGAGTCAGATCTGGGATCTTGGGAAGCTGAAAACAAAACAAAAACCAATAGGCTGGAGAGCCAAGAGCTTTGGTTCACCCCATATCTCSCATTCTGGGCAGTGCTGCTGGAATCCCTCAGTTCTACTTTTCCCTGCTTTCCCTCCTCACACTTCCATAAATCCTGGCAGCTCCACCACTCTCAAAGCAGGAATGAACCAGCTTTTAGAGCCTGCTTCCTGCACTCCTTAATTAACTGTAAAATCCATTATTGAGGGACACAAAGCAAATCTCCTCCCTACATCACCCCTCTGGCCCCAGGGAGGGAGTGACYGAGGCTGGGAATTGATCCTGTTCCCTGCATGGCAGAACTCTGCAATGGGCCAGCTCCCTGCTGTTGGACCAGTGCTCAGTCAGGTAAAGGGAACACATGGATCACAACTTTWAAAGTCTTGGCTTTAAAACTGGTGCAAGGAAAAGGGCTCCAGGTAACTTGTTTGTTGTTCTTTTTGTTCTTAAACTTCTGCAATTCCCTTTTTTTCTGCTGGAACTTTGGAGAGTATCCCATTTCTGCTGTCCTTGCAGTGTGTCCAACTCCTTTACACAGAGATTTGGGCAGTTTTTGGAGCTGTGTTTGGTATGAGATAGAATCTCCTTCTGGCAGTTCCTATCTCCTTTCCCATCATCATCCCTATCCAAGCAATGAAATCAGGATTTATACTTCAACCCCTGTCAATGAACATCCAGGACTTGAAGGAAAATATTCTGTGTTCTCCAATGCTGAAAATTCCTGGCAAATCCAGGATTTACATTATCCTGAAAACAAATACTTTCCTGAGACCTAAATTAGAGGAAAACCTCAATGAGAAGATGATTTTCTTCTTGTTAGGATTTTTATTGTTTATGACCATTTCTTGCAGGGGATTTCTCTTGAAGTATTTCTCTGTCCCTCTCTGTCTCATCCCAGTGCATCTCCAAATTTTTGGGAAGATAATTGGAATACCATGTATATGATATGTTGTTTAAAGTGTCTTGGAGGTTTCACCTGCCATGAGTGTAGATTATAGGATATATCATGAGCTGCTTGTTCAGCAATAGATCTCCTTTCTAAGAATAAATGAAGAATTCCTTCCAAAAAGCTGGAACCCTTGTATTTTAAGCAAAAAAACCCAAACTACTACAAAGCTGCTCCCATCTCCTTAAGTGGTACTTTAGATCAGCTATCAGAGCTCCTGTGTAATGGAAATGTGCATCCCCAGTAATTTAATGTAAGCACTGAAAGCTTTTGTAAATCAAAATATTTTATTCTCTGAGAATCCCTTAAAATACCACTGAACTGTATGTGAAATGCATTCCCTGCTATAGGGCAGGGGGTTCTTCATTTTTTTATTGATTTTTAGAAGCTCTGGAGTTAAACCATGCCAGGAGTGTTGCTGAGATGAATCACTATTATCCAAAGGCCACCAGCCTCTCTGCCGGCTGACAGAAGGATAATTCCACATGGATCAAATAAATACAGATGTGTAGTAATTAGTTCTATTCCCAATGAGGCCATTTCCAACCCACTAAAGATGTGCACGATTATGGAGCCTCACCCCAACAGCTTTTATCAATTTAAACTGCTAAGCTACAGGATAGGTCATAACCCAGCCTGCTATTAATAATGTATTTATTGTGGGCAACRTTAGGAATTAAGRGGAGAAAAAAAAATACTTCTCACAAGAAAAATGTTCTCTTTTTCCAGGAGCACCGCATGTGCCTGGCCACCCTGCTCAAGTACAGTCCCAGGACCATGCAGAGGATCCGGGTTCTGATCCAGAGCAGGGATGCCTACGTGGTTGGGGGTGTTCCCCACCAGGACGATCTGGCCGTGGCCGATGTGCTCCAGGTGCCGGTGTTGGGCTCGGAGCCGGCCGTGGCTCAGCTCTACGGCACCAAGTCRGGCTCCAAGAGGATCTTTGCCAGTGCTGGGGTGCCAACCCCTCCTGGAGAGTGGGACATCCACAGCTGGGAGCAGGTGAGCGGGGTGCGCTCCGGGGTGGGACGGGAATTGTGTCATGGTGGCAACTCTATTGGTGGGACCTTCATGGGTTTGGTCAAACCTTGGGTGAGGTTGGGTCCTTTTTTGGCTCAGTTAAATGCAGCGTGCGCCCAAGGCAGGAAGGATCACAATTACACTGGGATCCTTCATGGTCCTGAGGATACAGAAATTTTTGATCCAATATTTGAGACAGCCTGTACTGCTGCCTCATGGGTGAAGTCATGGTCTCCATGAAATTAATACATTTCACCAGTGAAAAATGCACATTTTCCAAAAATCCTTGTTCTTAGTGGAAGAAATTTCCCCTTCAATCAGCCTGTGCCAACTGAGGTTCACTGAGCATCTTTGCAGCTGCAGTTTTACTTTGTACCCAGCCTGTCRTTGCTAAATTCCTCTCTCCTGTTAGCTTGACCAGTAAGAAAGGAACAAAACAGTATTGAACTAAAATTACTAGGCACGAGAGGTTTCTGTACCTTCATTTTCCATGTTTTTTTTTGTAGTCAGTGCTTCAATATTTTATTCTTTAAGGTGATTTTGCAATTTACAATGATATGTCTAAGCATTCATTTTTTTAAAAAACCACATTTTTATGATGGTGTTATATCTCATCCAGGAAAATAATSATTGCTAAGATTTTTGGTAGGTGTTCCTGCTTCTTCAAGAGGCTTTTCAAATTGCTTTGATTTTATTAATCACCTTTAGTACTGAACAATGGRAGCTACACAAATACATTGCAGCTTCTCCAGTAGATGAAATAAATACATGATCAATGACCTGCAAAAGAGCTGTTTGATTTATTTGATTCAYGTAAATTATTTAACAATACTTTTGGCTCATCCTACGGGGTTATGGAATTTCTACTTCTGTTGTTTGCTYGTATGAAATATTGACATTTTAGGTTAAATAATCAAAGTGAGGTGACACCATGGTAAAGCACAATTCAATTTTCACTTAAAGATAGCACATAATTCTTTGTGATTGGTACAGTCCTTACAGAATTATTGATCCTTTTCATTACTGTAGGGGAGCCCTCAAGAAAAACACATTTATGTGATTCTCAAAAGCCACAAATGGAACACATGTAATTGTATTTTAGGTCAATCTTTAAAAAAAAGAAACAAAAATCCCCCAAATTACTCTGTAAAATGGAGAAGACTTCAGCCAATGCAACAAGATCTGAGAATACTTTTACCAGGTTCAAAGTCATTTGCAGTTTCTAAGAAGCTAATTGCATCCTGCACCAGCTGGGCAAAAGGCATTTGGAAGCCATTTAAATCTGTGTACATACACAAATAAATAATTAGCATTTTTATAAAGCCTGCCTGGTACCTCCTCCGTACATTTATAACCATGGAATGCTCTCTCCAGTAGGAAAATTTCCCAGCTGTTTTGGCTGGTGTTACTCTGGCACATTTTTGCAAATAGCATCGTCCATCCCGCGTTGTTCTCTGTCACAAACGTTTATGGAGCAGTTCTGGTGATCCAAAACCTCAGATCCTCATCAGACAAAAAAAACCAAAAAAAAACAGTCTGGGCAGGCAAATTCCCCTCTGCAGAAAACAGGGATGAAAGCCATGGAAAACTCAACTTTTTTCATCCAGAACTGGCCAARGTTGTTTTCAATCCATCCCCAAACAGAACAGCTGTAACAGCACAAAGATCTTTCAGAAAATGAAACCCTGATTACAAAATAAACTTGAAGCCCAAATCTTTGGGAACTGGAAGTCTGAGGAGCATTTTGGTGTTGTGACAGCTCACAGGATCTTGGTGTCCCTGCTCTGCAGCTGCTCCGTGCTCTCAGCCGGCTCATCCTGGACAATGTGGAAGTGCGGCGCTGGCTCTTCAAGGTGGATGATGAACATGGAGGAAACGGCACTGCCTACTGTGATGTGATTTCCCACCTGGAATGCTACCCCTGGATCCAAAGGGAATGGCAGAGACACAGCCCTGAGGGGTGGAGTAAGAGCCAGGCTCGTGTAAGTAACAAAAAAACCCCATCTTCTTTGTTGTCATGGCTTTTCAATTGTCCCCTGAGGTTCCTCCTCCTTGTAAATCTCCTCTCTGAGCCCCCATCTGAAGGGAAATGTTGATATCACAACCCAGACTGACTTTACAAAGCAAGAGGTAGCAGTAATTCAAATAAAACAGAGAAATACTCCAAAATACACAGGAATACCTGGCAACCAACTGTGGAATGASTTGTGTCACAACACTTCCTGTGCAATAATGTGCAAATTTTATACGTTTTTTTTATCCAAAGTGAGAACCTGCAAATGAAAGTTTATTGGCAGCRCAGCCTAATATCTCCATAGAAATTTGGAATTATTGAAACAAAGATTAATTGGGACTGGGATTTAAATAGTTGAACAGCTCCAATTCAGAACCACAACAAACTGATTGCTTTTTAATCTGTTTTTCTATGGATTATTTTTCCTGTATGCTTTTTCCTCACTTATAACTTTTAAACCTGTATGAGACAGAACTCAAGGTCTTGGAGAATATTGAACTCCTGTGAGTTTCATTACCAGGGGTGGTTAGGTAAGGAGAGACATCTATAAATATCTAACTAAGGGAAACATTAGAGCATGAACTCAGGCACTCCTGGATTCCTAAGAATCCTCARGATTGAGAGGCTGGAAGATGATACATTTTAACTGCAGGAAAATCCATATGAAACCACACTTCATTATTCTGCCATTCCRAGAACTATTTGTAGTTTAAATATTCATTGGTATTTAAATGTGTTAATTTCAATAAGCATTTGATATTTCTGTATGTCTTGCCAAATTCATTCCTAATGTAATGGTTTTAAAGCCAGAAGGAATGTATCCAGAAAAAATGTTTAATTTACATAAACTACTCATTATAGCTCTTCTGATTTTTTTAATTCAATCAAAACGGGTTTGAAATTTTGGGTTGATTGAATTATATTGTATACTAAAATTTCAAATTGTGCTGATTACACTTCTGCTGCATTTGACAACTACAAAATAATTCCACATTATAAACCAGAGTTCATGAGATAAAGCTGAAGGGGTAATTTCTCTGATCTGCTGCTCCCTCACCATCTGCAAGTCAGGCAGGATGAAGCAGAGTCCTGGAGAGCCATCCTGGTGGGACACAAAGCTYGGGATAAATCCAGGGCCTGCCCCCACCACCTGAGTCATGACAGAGCCCTGAGTCACCATCTCTGGTTCTTTGCTGGTAGAAATTCCTGATAAAAGAGGCATTTTCTGTGCTTCTATTTCTGTGCCTTTTTAATYCTTTTCCTAAGTGCTTCTGCATAAAGGACACAGTGATCCCTGACTGCCTTTGGTTTTTCTTTCTACTCCATTTACCTCAAGCTTTGATGCAACAAGGAATCAACCAGTGAGAAGCCCTTAAACATTAACACATGTTGGAATTTGGGAAAAAAAATACAGAATAATGAATTTGATTTAATTTCCTAGAGTCAGCAGACAAATCCAGGCCAATATTGAAGAGGGCTTTGACAATGTGTTGTCCAGAGAATCTGTGGCTGGCCCTGGATCCCCAGAAGTGTCCAAGGCCAGGTTGGATGGGCCTTGGTGCAGCCTGGGATAGTGGAAGGTGTGGAAGGGGATGGAACTGGATGATCCTGAAAATCCCTCCCATTCCAAACCTCTCTGTGATTCCAGAGCGTGGCACTTGCTGCTGTTTTGAACACCTTGCTTGAATGTTTGCTCGAATTTCCCTGCCTCCTGCATTTACCATCTTTTGAAATAACGAATTGCAGCCTCCCCGAGCCTCACCGTGGAGAGCAGAGGATTAAAACGCTCCTTTGTTAGGGAACACCATTGTAATGATCCACATTTAAACATCAAAGCAGCAGTTTGTGCTTTCATGTCCCGTTGCAGTGTGGGGACCTGGTTCCTTTGATAATGAAGACGTCGTGTCACGGCGGCGGCTGCCACACACCAAACGGATGCTGGCAGGTTATTAAAAAATCCAGCTTCTTGATGAAAGACTATCCTGCAGGCTAGGAGTACAGTGAAAAGCCTTTCCATTCTGCTGGAATTATTAGAAATGAGAACATGACTGTAAGCACTAAATTATGGTAATACTTACAAATAGCATCATTTGCATAGCAGTTTAACACACGACACCCAGATTTTCCTCAGTGGCGTGGAGTAGGCAACAGATTAAAAATAATGGACTTTGTGAGTTTGGGCTGGGTAAAAATTCATTCCAGCTAAAAATGAGGCTGRTTTTAGATTCCTCTTTGTAAATAGAATGTGGGGCAGACCCCAGTGYAGGACAGGATTATGGATGGATTTCACCTTGTTAACTTAATGCAGTCGCTGAATTATGTGAACAATTAATTTGCAACTGCAGAAAGGCTTGAATTCATAAACTGCATCAATGTCTCCAAGTCCATCATTCTTCTGTGCACTGTTGAAGTTTTTAGCAGAGAAATTGGCCCAGGATCCAATGGTTCAATGTCCAGAGCACTTGCTGCACTTGTGAGGTTGTTAGTGGAGACATCCTCCAGTATGGAAAAGGATATTGGAGTCTGGCCCTAGTTGTGTGCAAAACAATTAGAAAATACTGAATCTCCTTATCTGTTAAATTGTATCTTGTAGGGTAAATGATGATTCTAGGGAACAAATAAATTCATTTTTAACATATGCAGATTTTCTGTACTCATTCAAGCTTCAGTTAGTCCGTGCATAGCAGAAAAGGTGGRTTTGCTGCTGTGAGGGTGCGTGAATAATTTTTTGGCATATTTAGAGGAAGATCTCCATGATACTCACTGATATGTAGAATAGCTGGGCATCTCACTCCTGCTGAAAGTYAGCAGCTCAGATTTGGGAAAATCTCACCTCAACTTATACAGATCCTTGCTGGTAGACTCTAAATTCATGGAAAACTCCTGTTATTTCTGACACAGTCTCTGCCTTAGAGAGATTCTGAGTTGTTGGAAGCTGGGAGAGTATCCAAGGAATGGATGTGCTCTCTCTGTTTTCATATTTTCCTTTTTCTTGGACTTAAATTGCCCAAACTCTTCCCTTTTAGGGCAAAGATAACATCACCTTCCCTGTTAGCATTGCCTTTTTYCTTCTTTTGAMAATTCCCTTTTACATGAATAACCCRGGACTGCAGGATCCCATCCTGTYGTATAACTGTGGAACTGTGAATAGTAAATCACTGGATRAAATTACTACTGAAATTAATTTTAGAATTATCTTTTATTACCCCATGACTTAATTAACCACCAGCACCAGCAACATGATGTGAGTTTATCTAGCAGTGAGTCTGAGGATAACAAAAGTCAGGCTGGAGACAGAAAAAGGGATAAAGAAGAGCTGAAAATACAGGGATAGAATGAGGCACAGAAAAACAAGCAACAAATASTCTCTCAATAAACCCTTAAAATTCGTGATAGCTACACAGTAGAGTTCAAAACTTTCCATTAAATATCTGTTGAATAGAAAAAAAGGGAATTTAACACACTTGGGCAGCCCCTGTTAGAAAAATGTTTGAGCTTTCCTCCTCCAGTTTAGTCACACGATTTTGTTTCCGTTTCTTTTCCTTACAGGCCATAATTCGGTTAATTTACTGCAATGAGGAAATCAGAAGCTTTTCAAAAGGTGACAGATGTGGACAGCTTTTGGTCTGAATGATGCAAAACAAGATTTGTATGCTGCTTGCAAGATTTTGCATTGATTGCTATTGGAAAATAGGAATGCAAAGCACTGGCTGTTCCTTTAATWTAAACATTTTTGGTCAGCTTTTGAAAATCCTGTAGTAAGTAATAGATGAACTKTGGGATTACCTGGAAATCAGGAATAATGGGGAGCAGATTGTGTCCTGGTTGGATGAATTCCATGCTCTGCAGCAAATCTGGAGCTTCCATAGCACATCTTGTTTCTTTACTGAGTTAACGAGTTTAGAGCAGGGTGTGTGTTTGCAAACACATCAGGATCAAACCAACCCAGCAAAACTGTAATTTYAGGAACGTGGCACTGCCAGCACACTCCTTTCTGACCTCCTTTGAACACAGCAGAGCTTCCTAACACTGCTTTATTCTTTTTTTTTTTTTTTTTAATTGATCTTAGTGTAACACCTAAAGCCCTCGGAGGGGGTTTTTAAGGAGTCTGTTGTGCACATGGAATTGCAGGTGTGGTATTTTTCCAGCCTGAAGAGGGCCAGAAACTTTGACAGATCCCCAGAAAATGCATTTCCAGCATTTGGACAGGTTTTTAACATTTCTTCTAACTGATACCATGTTTAATAGGGAAAGAAAAAGAACCCAAAGACTTGAGGAGGAGATTGATGATGRAAAGGAGTAGTTCTGCACATTTCCTAGTGTGAGCAGTGCTCTGCCAGCAATTACCCCAAATAATGGAAATATCCCCTGTACCTGCCAACAATCCTCAGTTTATTCAGATTATCTGCATGTCTGCCATGGTGGTGTGTGAGGTGAGGTGCAGATCTGAGGTAAAATAAAGCAGAATTGTGTCCCTGGGCCCGGTGAAAGCYGGGATATCTTCCCTGAACCACAACCACGGGCTCTGCAAGCTGTTGGGCCGTGTGTCCTATTGATTTAATATGCTCCTAATCAGTACATAAAGCTATAGGCCTGCAGTGTTAATTTTTCATATGCTTACAAAGTACCCTTTGATTTTCTGTCACGCGTTAATTACAGCGTTTTGCCATTAAATAGGAAGCTTTGTGTAAACTAATTACTAGGTAATCATTGTCTACCGCCAGCGTGCTGTTCCTACCTTTTATTTTATTCTAAAAATGCACAGATCTCGCAGTCTGGAACCACTATACCTTCCAGCCATTAGCTCTCACTAATTCATAGCATTATTGTGGTAAGATTGTAGGAGTTGTAATTGTTGTGGTATCAGTGCTGTTAATTACCGGAGTAAACAGTTGAAATGGTGCCAAGGTCTATTGTACAAGGCAGAGGAAAAGGAGGTTTAAATGTTACTTCCACCATCTGGGGACC